GAAGGTAGGTGACTTCTAGGTGATTTTGAGGTAGAAGGTAGGTGATTTTGAGGGTAGAAGACAGCAGTACACTTCTGGAAGCATTTTACCATGTCATGAGTCAAAGCTGAACACTGTGTTGAACATGGGAATCTGTCAGTAAGAGCAAAGGAAGACACCAGATGTAAAAGGACTTATTATAAAAGATACATGAGATTATCTGTCGTGTTGATGTTAAAATTAGAGCTGGTCTTTAACATTTCATAGAGGACAAAGACATGCATGCTTTTGTAACCAAATTCCTGCCACTGCAGGATAGAGAGAGCCTGGTTCTGACAGGAGAGCATACCTTTAAGGTGGCACTTAATCATTGTCATAGTGTTCTTGTCACTCAAGGTTGCACAGACTTTTAACTCTTTTTTTTCCCTTCTCTTCATTTTCATGAGTTGCATACAGAGAATGGAGACATTTCTCCACAAGAGAATTAGACCATTGTGTTAGGGCTAGACAGTCAGAAAAGAAGCTCAAGGCCAAAACTACATACTCACACAAGATGTGCTCTTCTAAATCCTATAAAACATCTGCACAAACTTGTGAAATCTGGCTGTCTAAATCATAAGTTATTGAATATCATGTTTGATTGAATTGGAGATCTTCGTACCCAGACACCATGCCAGCTATGTAGAGTCCCTCTCTCATAAAAAAAGGGTGAATCTGCTTGTCCCTGTTAATTGCACACAGGTCCAATTAAACCTCAGTCCCAGTTCAAAGCCTGCTGACAGGCTGTAAGAAGTAAACCAGCAGCACAATTAATGCATAAAGCAGCAACAAGAGGGTTGTGTGAGTCATGATTAAGCAGATCTGATTGCCTGGCAGGAAGAAAAAAGAGGAAGGAAGATGTACAACATCCATTATCTTTCCCATCTGGTTTGTGGAGAACACTGAAGTCCTCTCCCACAAAATTTTCCAAGGCAAAGCTTTTTTCAACCAGATCTCACCAACACTCAGAGTAAAAAAAAAAAAAAAAAAATTAGTTCTTCTGAAAATGTTATTTCTAACCCACTGTGTGTCTTAAATGGTCAATGGTCAACATGATTTTTTGGATAAAATCTTCTTTACCTGTCTGCTCTTATGCTTTCCTGGGTTGTAGAAAGCCTGAGTGCATTGTGTTCAGTGTCATCACAAAAGGAAGCTATAGTCTGATCAAAATAAATAGCTTCTCAGAATAAGTTAGCTGTGTAATTTGAGCTTCTTAGTCTCAACTGTGGCTGGAAACTGCTGGCAACAAATAAAATTCCTTTCTGATGCTGTGCTGGTCCACTTTCCAGAGCATGATACAGCTGTCATCTTGGCAGACTGTTAATTCACACCACGATGCACAGATGCACCCTAATATAAATATAATTCAGTCACAGATAAGTGGCTGGTAAATACTCGAAATTTTATCCTAAAATGTTATGTTCTGTTGATAGACCAGTTTTGATTCATGACTGGTTTGCATGTGTGATTCAGATCCAGGACTGAAGTGATTGTATATAAAGCCACACACGCATGGGAAAGTGGAGCCACTGTCAATATCAGGATGTGGTCAAAGCCTTCCATCTGTTCCAGGTGACGTAGAACTAGGTTCTGACTAAGATGGTTTTGCACCTTTTAAAACCCTTTCCTAATTCAGAGTTGGGGTTTTATTTTTGGTTTTTTGGGGTTTTTTTGTTTGTTTTTTGCCAAGAAAACTGTAGTTTAAAATCTTAAAGCTTTGAAATAAAATAAATGTTAAAATAAACTGAGTTATTCTAAATGATATCAATTTCAGTTTCAAAAAAAAAGCAAAATTTCTAAAGTATGATGAGCCAGTTGAATTAAAAATTAATAATGTGTGCTCAGATTTTTATTGCAAAGCTGTAAATGAGCTTTTTTTGTGTGTCTCTTTGCATTTCCTTCTCTTTCCGAAGTCTCATTGCAAAAAGATTTAATGCAACTAATGATAAATACAACCCAAGTGTCAACAAGGGAAGTGTTCCCAGTGTCTCTTTCTCTCTGTACTAATTAGGGAGTACAGGAAATCTAAGCAGGGGGATTTAAAAGCAAACAGAGACACCAGTAGAGAGCAGATACAGGAACTTTCGCTACAAACCTGCACTGATGGATATTAATGCAATAAACTAAACCATCCCTGACCTCCTGTTGCTCAGAGCAGCGAGTGGGAGCTGTGCTGCACCACTGGGGCTTGCAGTCTCTCCTTGGAAAGGCTGCGGCATCCCCAGCAGGTTTCCTGCCGGAGTCGAACGGAGAGAAGAGCACACAGCCCGGTGACCTGTCTGGGGCAGCGGGCAGTGTCTGCAGCGGTGACTGATGGCATCGTCACACGGAACGGGGTCGCGCTGTCCTTGCCACACTCTGGGGACCCTGATGAAAACCTGCTTTCCTCTCCCGACCTAGGCAGCCCTTGGGCGGGACAGACCATCCTTCAGGCTGCACTTTTTCCAGCTGCTTGCAGAGATCATTAGCATGGCAGGAAAGGAAGCACAGGAGCTGCCTCATCGGATCAGATCCGATCAAATCAGTGTTTCACCACGTCCTGCGTCACAGCCCTGTGCACAGCCCTTTCCAGAGGCTGTGGGGGAAGGTGACAGAGGCTACCCTGTTGGAATGCTGTGGAATGAATGTTGCAGAAGGAAAATGTGCCTGGTGTGTCAGCTTCCTCCCTCCAACCTGAAAAATAAAGAATTTACTGTGTTTAGGGTCACAGCTGCTGAGGCAGAAGGGAGTGAGGCTAAAATCTAGTGTTCTGTGATCAGTACCAGAGGGAAGAGGCAGGGAAGGGTGTTCTCTTTCTCTGTTGTACCTTTTGCCGGTTCCAGTTGTATGAAATTATAACAGCAACAACATCCTCATGAGGGCAAACACAGCAACAAATATTCCCAGCACCGTGTTCTGAGGCTGAGGTTTAAAACTAATGGGAATCCAAACTCCCGCTTTCCAGTGTTTAAACCTACAATTTTCCAAGCAGACAAAATTTGTGCCATTTGACGCAGCCTTCTTCAGGAGCTAAAAGTGGAATACTCAGCAAGGGATCCATCCAGAATTTTGGGTGGCTTTGAAAGACATGACTCTCCAGACTGTGCCTTTTATAGGCACTTGTGACTAGGTGGCCAGAAAAGTGGTTTCTTACAGTGTATAGAAAGAAGCAACTGAATTTCAGAAGAAAACAGTTGTTTTAATTAAAACTACATATGTAAATCTCTGACCTGAACTGAAGGTTTGGTCCAATCTAGAGAAAAGGAAAACCAGTATTTAACACTAGTCAGAGTGGGTATGATCCATGATTCATGTTCCCAGAGAAGATGATACTAATGCAAATAAGCTTTAAAACCAGCATCTAGCAAGGTTCCTAGCAAGCACAATTTTGCAGTTCCTCCCTGCGTTAGCAGTGCACATAAAAGCCGTGTGTTGTGATAAAGTCCTAAATCAGGAAGGAAAGCAGAATAAACCAGCCCCAAACCAAACCAACCTCTCCATGATGCACTAAGATACAAAGAGGAAGAAATTCCACACTGTCTGGTTTTCACATCACTTGTCACCAGACACTGAAAGCAGTGACACCAACTGACTGCCAGCATTAACCTTTCCTTGGAATTCTGCTGCCTCTCTCTGCAAGGACCTGGCAGAGTTTTACCAATGTTGTTGGCTCTCTCCAGCAAAATCGCACAGGATTTTATTCCTTGCAAAACTGTCCTGGGGACATTTGCAGGGCAAGGACTGGGTGAGGCTGGGGACTTGGAGCAAGCATTAAACTCTGACCAGTTCATCACAAACTCATCACACCCGGCTGGAGGAGGGTGGGTAGAGAAACTGACCCCAGAATTCTGGAGAATTTGGAAGTGGGAGGGTGGATCTTGCCACTGATGGGGTCCTACAAGAGGTGTGGGTGAGGGGAATGCACAGGGACACCCCAGCTGACTATCCTCCAAAAATCCAGTGAATTCTTCAGAATCCTTGCCCTCCTCACTGTCTCCAGGGAAACAAACCCAAATCTGTCTGGTTTTTTTTCAAAATTAATGAGAGAAGTCCCAGCTGAGGGTTCTGGAGAAGTTCAAGCCCAGCTCCTGGACAAAAAAAACCCAAAAAATACAAACAACTTTAAAGAGCTTGAAAAAACCCATCCGGAATGGGGGAAATGAGGTTTCTCAAAGTACAAGCAGATGAAGGGGTTTTTCTTTAGAAAAATAAGAAAAACAGAAAAGGAGAGTGGTAATAAAGAATTTTACCACAAATATACTTTTAAATTGCCAGGTAAATAAGGAAGAAGATTTTTTTTTTCCTTAAAATAAAGAGAATAAAAGGTTTTTTTCCCTTAAAAAATCCCTAAAAACAAAGATACTGACTTCTTTTTAGAAGAAAAAAAGAAACCACACTAAAAATTTTGGTCATTTAAAAATGGGGTTTTTGGTCATTAAAAAAGGGGGTTTTTTTCCCCTCCAAAAAGTAGAATTCCTTCATATAAGGACTTTTTCTTTCTTCCAGGAAATATAGGCCAAAGTACATGATAAAGATTTTTCTTAGCCTCACAATAACAAAAAAGAGTCCTCAAAATCACAAATATTATCCCAAAGGGATAATCTATTTTCCTGCTCATGATTAAAAAAAAAAAAAAAAAATCTAGAATTAAAAGTTATTTTTAAAAGGACTTTTTTGTTAAAAAAAAAATAAAAATCACAGGATGAAAATTGAAAGCTTGGAAAGGGGCAAAACTTCACATAGGGTGAGTAGGGTGAGGAGGGATCCAGAGGTGTCTCCAGAACCCTAAATTATTCATAGAAGTCTTATCTCTCTTTAAAAATATACATCTGGAGGAGCCCCAGATCCCCAACACGTGATAAAATTCTCAACATGTGATTAAATTTCCCTTTTTAAAGAATCCTGGGAGAGCTCAGAGAGACTGGATGGGTGGAAAGTTGGCAAATTACACATTCAGTATTTTTTTTGTTTTGATTAAAAAAAAAAAAAAAGAGCAGGACGAGGTGAAAGCCAGCATTTGAGAGTGTTTGAGCTCATCTTCAGGCTGCAGTTCTTCACTTCATTGAAATCCAGGTGAGGTAATTTAATCCTGGTGGGATTTTGGTCATTCATTGGAATATTGTCTCTTTAAAGTCCTGGTTTTTTATGCATTTAAGGAAGATTTGTGCCTTTAAATCACTTTAAAAATGCATGAAGAAATTTAAATAATCCTCATTTTATTCAGAAAAAAAGGCAAAAAAATCCTGAATTTGGGCATAGAAGGGGAAAGATTTCTTCCTTCACACAAATGGCAAAAACTGAAGATTCAATTAAATAAAAATTAAATAAAAATCAAATAAATAGAAGATAAATGAAAATAGCATTCACCTAAGTACTCCATTAAATAAAAAGGCAATGCATTTAGAATTAAAAATTGACATTAAATTAAATAATGTTCACTTATATAAAATCTTTTATTAAAATTGAATCACAGTAAATTAAAATCTAAAAATTAAATACAATTTTAAAATATCCTGAATGAAATTAAATTACTACTTAAAAATATACTATAATTAAATAAAAAAGCCAACTTTTCAAATACTTCAATTCTTTTCAAAAGTTGTTAAAATACCACACATACACAAAGCCCTCCACACAAAATTCCTGGACAAAATTTGTGTTTGGTGTTTTAATGAGAACATTTTTTGCCTCTGGAACATCATTTTACTGCATCATCTCTTTTGGGGAGGGTTGTTGGTTTGCTTGTTTGGATGTATTTGTAGTTTTTTTAAGTTTTCCAGGTTTTTTAACAGCTATTTTAGGGTTGAGGATGCCACCCTCTAGTGTTTTCTTCCTCCTCATTTTAGGTAAATATTTGTTTCTGAAAAGTGTTGTCATTTTCATCCCTGCTGGAAAAATGATTGATCAACTCATTTTCCCTCCCATTTCTTCTCCAGGTTCCATGGTGGACACCAAAACCTCATTGGAAAAAGGTAAATTTTGGGGGCTTTGCCCTAAAAAACCATTATTTTCACCTAAATTAGACTTTCTCCCAACCACATTATACTATTTTCCCTCTCTTCTCCCAAAATCTGTGTGTTCCCCATGTAATTCCACTGGGGTCATTCCCTTTCACCCCAGTTTCACCATGAAAACCCAGGAGAAGAGACATCCATTTCTAGGTAACCAAGACTATAGGAACACCAAATTTGGTGGGTTACACTCCAAAATCCATGTAATTGGGTGGGAATTTGGGGGCAGTTCCCAAATCCTGATTTTCCCACAGGATCCCTGCTCTATCCCTATGGACTGCACCAGGGGGATAAAACCAACCCCAAACTCGATGATGGGACATCCGAGGCGATCACCCTCTCCATTCCCTTCACCTTCTATGGCAAAACCTACCAAACTGTGTTTGTAGGTCACCCCAAATTCTATTTTTTTTTTTTTGCAATTTCCTCAGTTTTTCTGAATTTCGCCTCCATTTCTACTTATTTTTTCACTGGTGTGTGGGTGAGTGTGAGTGTGTGTGTGTGTGTGTGTGTGTGTGTGTGTGTGTCCCCAAAATCAACCCTTCTTGAATTCATAGTGGGTTTTGTCCTTTGACACTGAACACTGAAACATCAGATGGGTGGGGGATCTTGAGGGGTCTGGTGGTATTGGGCAGGGTTGGAGGGGCTTGGGAAGTTCTGAGGTTGCTGGGTGATGGTGTGGTCCTTCATGGCTGGGTGTCTTGGGGCAGTTGGTTGGTTTTGGGTGGTCCCCCATGGCATGGGTCTTGGGGTGTGTTGGTGGGCATTGTGGGATCACATGGGTGGCGGATTTTGTGAGGGTCCTTTATGGGTGGGTCTCAGGGTGATTGGTGGGTGTTGTGGGGTCCTCTGGGTGGTGGGCCTTGGGAGGGTCCTGGGGGTGGTTGCCATTAGGGAGCTCTGTGGATCTGATTTGATGGGGGGTGGAGTCCGCTGGGTGGTGTGTCTGGGAGGGTGATGGATCTGGATGGGTACTTTGAATGCTGGGGGGTCCTGTGCGTGAGGGTTCCTATGGTTGGTGGGTCTTGGGGGAGTCCTGTGGGTGATGGATCTTGGGGTGTTGATAGGTGTTGGGGGTCCCTATGGGTGGTGGTTCTTGGCATGCTTGTAGGGTCCATCTTGAAGAACCCACAACCCAAGTCAAGGTGTTGCTCCCACCTGCTCCTGGTGTCACCTCCAGGTGAACAACAATGGGGTGATCTCCTTTGACGAGCCCGTCAGACAGTACACCCCTGACCCCTTCCCTCTGGCGGATGGGCGCCCTTTTGTGACTCCCTTCTGGGCAGATGTGGACAACGTGCTGGGTGGGGACATCTTCTACCGCCAGACCACCGATCCAGTGCTGCTGGAGCACATCAGCCAGCACATAACCCAGTACTTCCCCAAAAGCCCCTTCACTGCCACCTGGGCCTTGGTAGCCACCTGGGACCATGTGGCCTACTATGGCTCCACCTCTGAAAAGGTGAGGCCCATAGTCCTGGGGGTGTGAAGGTGACTCATTGGCTCTTGTTGACCCATTTGGTGGCCTTGCTAACCGACCTATCTTTGACATCCAGAACCCATCCCTGACCTTCATGACTCATCTTGACTTCTGTGGCCTTTCTCCATAGGGCAACACCTTCCAGGCTGTGCTGACCACTGACTCCAAGATGTTCTACATCATCCTCAACTATGGGGACATCCAGTGGACCACAGGGGCAGCGAGTGATGGGGACGCTGAAACAGGGCTTGGGGGGACCCCTGCACATGTAAGTGGGGAGGGTGGAGGAGGAGAAGGAGGTTGTCCTACTCCATATTCAGAGGATGATGATGGTGAAGGTCAGGGATTGGCCCAGTCCAAGTATTGGAGGTGATAATGATGATAGTGATGATGATGATAATGGTGATAGTGGTGGTGATGATGATGATGATGATGGTGAAGACAGGAGGTTGTCCACTCTTCTTCTGGAATTGATCATGATAGTGATGGCCATGGATTGGTTCATATAATTTCTGGGTGACACCAACTATGTTCGCATCCTAAAATAATGTTAGGGGCCCACTACCCCTCTGGGGGGTCAGCGCTCCTAGATTCCCCTCACAATTTTCCAGGCGGGATTCAATAGCGGTGATGACACCAACTTCTACAACATTCCTGGATCCCAAACTGATGCCATCATCAACATCACCACCACCTCCAACGTCAAGGTCCCGGGACGCTGGGTCTTTAGGGTGGATGACTTCCAGGTGACAGGTGTGGATCTTCTCCAGCTGGACAACAACTGCTGGTTGTAAGTTGGAGGAGAAAATTGGGAATTTTGAGGAAAAGTGGGAATTTGGGGAGTAAATTCAGGAATGAGGGGGGAAAAGTGGGGATTTGGGGCAATAATTTGTGACTGTGGGAAGACCACTGTAAATTTAGGGGGAGACAGGATTTGTTGGGGAAAATTAGGAATCTGGGGGGGAACCATGGGAATCTTGGTTGGAATATTGAGAATTTAGGGGCATTAGGAACTGGAGAAAATTGGGCATTTGGGGAACAATTGGAAGTTTTTGGGGAAAGGTGGGAATTTTATGGGATAATTGTTGAGGAAAATTTGGATTTCTGAGGGGAATATTTTTGGGTGGTACTGGGGATTTGGGTGGAAAGTGGCTCTTTTTCTTGGGCTGTTGATATCTCCTCTAGGTGAATTGAGGGGAGTGGGGCAGAGGGACATCGCCACTGCCACTGTTATCACTGATGAAGTCACTGTGCAAGTCAAGATCATGCCAACTTCTAGCAGAGCAATAAAATTTCAGCTAAGACATTGCAGTGTCCTTGCCCTTGTCATTGTTGTGGCACCCATGGTGATGTCATCACACTTACATCACCATCAACCTCACTGTTCCCACAGTTGCAGGGGATCTGAGGGGTTTTGGGGTGAAATGTGACAGAATTCATCCAATTTTGCCTTTTTGGGTGGGGGTGGTAATTTCTGGGATCTTGCACAATATGAAGTCAGGTAACAGCCATGTACACAGGAGACACAACCCACAACAAACAGCTTGGCACACACCCCAAAATGCTGCACCTACAATACACTTGGACATCACAAGACACACAAAACATACAAGACACAACTTTACTCCTCCCCACCCTTGACTTCTACTCACAGAACCATGGGATCATTAAGGCTGGAACAGAGCTCCAAGATCCTCAAATCCAACCTTTGACTGAACACCCCATGCCAAGCAGACCATGGCACTGAGTGCCATGTCCAGATGTTTCTTCAACACTCCAGGGATGTGATTACACCACCTCCCTGAGCAGACCATTCCAATGTCCAATCACCCTTTCTGTGAAGAAATTCCTCCGGGTGTCCAGCCGGCACCTCCCCTGGCACAGGTTGAGACCATTTCCTTTTGTCCTGCTGCTTGTTGCCCGGAAGAAAAGATTCACTTCCACCTGGCAACAACCTCTCTTCCAGGTAATTGTAGAAAGTGATAAAGTCACCCCAAGTTTCCTTTTCCCCAGGCTGAGCCCCACTAAGCTCTCTCAGCTGCTCCCGATTCTCCAGACCCTTCCCCAGCTCTGTTCCCTTCTCTGGACATCCTCCAGCCCCTCAATGTCTTTTTTGCCATGAAAGACCCAAAACTGTCCCCAGGATTTGAGGTGTGGCCTCAGCAGTGCCCAGCACAGGGGACAGTCACTGCCCTGCTCCTGCTGCCACACCTGAACTGGCACAACCCGGGGGCCATTGGCCTTCTTGGCCACCTGCGCACCTGGCTCAGGTTTTGCTGCTGCCATGAGCACCCCCAGGGCCTTTCGTAACAAGCAGCTTCCCAACCACTGTGCCCCAGCCTGGAACTGCAGAAGTTCTTGTGACCCAAGGGCAGGACCTGGCACTTCCCCTTGGTGCACCTCATGCCATGGGCCTAGGCCTAGTGATCCCATCAATTCCTCAATCCACAAGATGCTTTTTTTTTTTTTTTTTAATCCATCCCTTCCTCCCCTTCCCTTTTTTTCCTTTTCCCCTCTTTTTTTAACCCAAATCATGCCATCTATTCTCAAAAAAATACTTTTTTTTTTTTTGCTCCATCACCTCCTTGTCATTGTGGAATAATTTAAACCACTTTGGGAAAAAAAAACCCTTGATATCTGGTAATGCCAAATTTTGTCATCAGTTTTAACAAAAACCCCCTGTTTTTCTCTCTGTTTTCACCTTTTCTGGCCAAAAATTATCTCACGTCATTGGGTGGGGTGGTCCCCTGAGAGTGCCTGGATTAGTCATTTTCTTTCCTCTTTTTCTGCCAAAATTAAAAAATAATTGAGGGAGGAGCCAGATCTGCTGTCCTGGGATTGTGTTTTCTTCACAGATTTGGGGATAAAACGGAGCTCTTTGGGGATACAGAGCTAAGCTGGGGATCAAACAGGGCTGAAAGCAGGTAAGGGCAAATGTAGATCTAATAACTATGATTATTTTTTTGGCAGGAAAGATTTTCCCTGGAGTGGGAAAATCCATCTGAAGATTCCTCAAGTTCCCCCCTTTCCTCACCTCCACCCTCCCTTACCTTACAACCCCAGCCCCGGGTCTGGTCCTGGGAGTAGTGGGGTTGGAAGATTTATGAAGGAATTTGGGGAAGAAAAGGGCAGGATAGTGGTTTGGAAGGGAACAAGAGAGAGGGAAAAGGAAGGAAATGAAGAAGAGAGAAGAAAAAGGAAAAAGGAGGAGAAAACGAAAAAGAGGGAGGAAAGGGTAATTGGGGAAAGATGAGAGGAAAAGAAACAAAAAAGGGAGAAGAGTGGGATAAGGGGAAAAAGGGAAAAAAGATAGAAAAGGGAAAAATGGGAGGAAAGGAAAACCAGGGAAAGAAGACAGGAAAGTAGGGGAAAATATGGGAAAGGGGGAATAAGCAGGAAAAAAGGGAAAAGAGTGAGGCAAGAGAAAAAGAGGTAGGAAAAGGGAACAAGGAAGGGAGAAGAAAAGGAAAATGAAGGAAGTGGAGGGAAATAAGGGAAAAGGGAGAGGAAAGGATAAAAGGGTAAGGAAATTTAAAAAGTGGAGGAAAGGAGTAAAAAAGGGGGAAAGGGATAGAAAAAGGAAAAAAGATAAAGAAATGGAAAAGCCAAAAGGGGATTTGGATAGAAAAATGAGACTTGGGGGAAAGAGGAGAAAATGGAAAAATGAAGCAAAAGAAAGAATGGAGAAAATAAGGGAAAAATAAAGTTATAAAATAATAGGAATATGAAAAAGGAAAAAGGAGGTAAAGGGGAAAGAAAAAAAGAGGAAAAGGGAAAAGACATTCAAAGGTACCTGGGATGGTGGGGAAGACATATGGAAATGCCCCCCCAAAAGCCAATTTTTGTACCAGGTGGAATAAAATTCACATTTTTGAGTAAATGCAATTTAAGTAGTGAATTTGAGGATAGCTTGAATGAGAAGAACAGATTTTGGGGACAAATTCAGTACAACACTGTTTTTTGGGATGAGTGCAAGGCTGAAATACACAGATTTTGGGGATTTGTATGAGTTTTATATCAAGAAATGGTGAATTTTGGGACAATTCCAGTTAAATTTCAAAAAATATGAGAATTTGACTGTTTTTTCACCTTTTCCACCCAGAGCATCATGGATCACAGCTTGGGAAAAGCAGATGTGCTGAGATGGTTCTGGAATATTATGTTCTGGGGTAAGTTGAAACAGGTTGGGGAGATGCCCCAAAAGCTATAAAATTCCCCTGAAATAATGAATTTCCTCAAAATAAGGGTTATCCAGCCCAGAAGAAGGATTCCCCAGCACAAAAGCTCCATCTTTTTCCCAGAGAATTAATTGGGATTTCATCTCAATTCATGATTGTTCAAACTGTTTGTTCCTGTGAATGATGATCCAACAGATTAAACTAATTAATTAAATATTTTTTCAGAGTTTACTCCCCTAACTGGAGAATGAGTGTATGAAAAATTAATCAAATCAGTGATCAAATTGCCACTCCATTAAATCAGTGATCTAACAAATTAATAGTTCATAATATCAATCAAATCCATCAAATCTGTAATCCATTAAAGCTATAATCCGTCAGATCAAGGTTAATTTAAATTTTTTCTCAAAAACAATATCCCATCAAATCCATAGTCCATAAACTCAATAAACTGTCAAACTAAAACCAATGACCCATGAAATTAGCACTTCATCAAATCAACAGTCTGCCCAATAAAAAGTCCATCCGTTTATTAATCCATTGACTCAAAAGTCAATTGGCCCAAAAATCCATTAAATCAATGTTTCATCAGTCAATATTTCATCAAATCAATGGTCCAGCAAATGAAATCATAGGTCTATCAGATTGAAAGTCCATCAAACCAATAATTTATCTAATCATTAACCCATTAAATTAATAATGCATTAATCAATAATTTACCAAATTGATCAAGTTATCAAATCTGTAGCCCACCAAATCAATAATCCAGCAATCAGTGATCCATGAAATCAACTGTCCATCAAACTAATTATCCATCTAACCAATCAAATCTCTCTCCATCAAATCTGTAAGCCATCAATTTAATAATCCATCAAATCAATAATCTATCAGATTACCCACCCCTCTTCTTCCTCCCCCAGCTCTCCTTCATGCTCCCAGCATCACCTCTGAGATGTCACCAACTCACCTGGGTGACGAATTCCTGGTGGCCTTCCTGCAGAATGGTAACCAGCGCACCCTTCGCAGTGACTTCCGTCTCCTCCTCCTCACTGGCCCCTCCCCATCCACCACTGCCACCATCTCAATGAAGAGACCTGGATTACGGATGACAGTGCAGGCAGCTGCCAGCCAACCAGTCCTGGTGAAGATCCCACCCCAAGCTGAGATGGTGGGAAGCCAAATTTTTGAAAACGCTGTGGTGGTGAAGACCACTGCTGCTGTCACTGCAGTGATGGTGAACGACAAACCCACAGCAGCTGACTCCGCCGTCATTATTCCGGTCCACAGGTGGGGGAAGGAATACCACGTGGTCACCCCCAATCCTGGCCCCACCCGCAATGCCCAGTTTGTGGTGGCTGCTTGGGATCAACCCACCACAGTCAACATTCACCTCAATGCTGATATCACCTTCCGTGGGCGGCTGCATCGACGCGGCTCCACCCTTACCATCCCACTGGAGCCATTCCAAGCAGCACAGATCCAGAGCACGGCAGATCTTTCTGGAACACGGGTGGTGGCAGAGAGACCGGTGGCTGTCTTCAGCGGTCACACCTGTGTGGGCAGGTTGAGCCGCTGTGATCATGTGGTGGAACAGCTCCATCCTATCACCCAGTGGGGAAAATCCTTCCTTGTGCCACCAGTGCCGTTCCAGGGACAATCCAACCTCATCTACATCACTGCTGCCCAACCAACGCGTGTCACGGGTCATGGTGAAGTCACCAGGACCACACGAGAGATAAATCCCAACCACTCACTGCTCTATGGCACCCAATCCCCGCAGGGCTTGTTTCTCACTTCTGAAGCTGGTGTCCAGATTTTTCTGTTGGGCAGTGGCGAGAACAGTGGTGCAGTGACCTTTGAGCCCTTTTTTGTCAGCATCCCGGACATAACCAGTTACTGCAACTCCTACAGCATTGTTGCACTGGAGGGATACGACAACCGCATCCTCCTAGTGGCCAAGACAGCAGAAACTTCTGGAATACTGCTGAACAAGAGGCCATTAGGGAATGTGGCTTGGGAGCAGATCGCTGGGTCAGAATATTCATGGGTTGGGATAAATTTGGGAAGCGGATTTGGAATCCATCGTGTGGAGCATGAGAGAGTGGCATTTGGGGT